ATTTTTTAGTGTAAATGAAACTAGTTACGCCACAGCTATAAGTCACTCTTGTCCGAATCAGACAAGAAATCTATGGACTGGATCACAAAGTTGTTGCGTAGGTCATATTTTTACTAGGCACTAGAGTATTTAATGAAAGCCATTTACGCTCCGCATCCCACAGAGGTTGCTCAAAGCACATGTCCTTCAACTCCTATTTCCCATTACAGAGAAGAGGGAACTGGAAGCTTTCCAAGATTTATAGATGGAAATATCAGCAATGTGATGAAGGAGCCGGATTGCAGCAGCTGAAGCAAATTCTCAGACCAAAATCCACGACGGGAGAATCGCCTCAACAGTATGTCAATAATATGCCTTTCATGTTTGCAAAAATTGCTTGTAGATGAAGTTACTCACTTTTTAAAGAGGGAAGTTTAATTTGAACCTAGTGCGATTAAGCACCGCTATCTCATAACGCGCGAAACAGCTACAGAAATAGGGCAAGTACGTCGACAATCAACAAGTGGGGGGACGTGTGGACACCCCTTCAAGGAGATCGTACCGACCGGGCTATTTTCCGCGACGTGATGCTTGATACTGTTCGCAAAGTATGAACGCAAGGCAGCGTTCAGACTTCGCGACGGCAGCGCTTCGGTCGCGCGTTCGACGCGATCGATGCAGTCGAAAGCATGCGCATCGATCGCGTGACCGAAGCGCTGCCGTCGCGAAGTCTGAACGCTGCCTTAGGAAATCCTCAGTGTCTCGACTAATTCATACCTTTTTCCATGCAACTGAAGGGACATCGGCGACCACTTCAACGGTTTCTTCATGTGGAGCAGAAGACGAACTTACACAGCTCTGCTGAAAGTTGCTTTTTCGAACTCACATATCTTCGAACAGGTCTAGCGCTACTTACCTCTGATTCATTCTTAGCTAGCTCATTCTGGGGAACATCCTCATCAGGAGCCTCTGCCTTGGCCACGTTGTCCTGTTCGTCGTCTGAAAGAATTTCTAGTTTCGGTGCGCAAAAGAGTACAGTTGCAAAAGTAGTAAAAGTAAACGAGAGAATTCACAGCTAGGGAAAAACGACCAAAGTGTTCCATTTGCTCTGGTATGTTACAGTGTGTTAGCATTATGTTAGCTGACGCCTTGAAACGATGAAATCGACTGAAGATGCTACGTCAATAAGAACGCGACTCCAACTGATGGTCATGGG